AAAAAAAAAATTAAAAAAAAAAATATCAGTGACAATAAAGTTACCATAATCGCAGAGCTACCACACTTGAGCCCTTATTTTGTGGCCGGCATTGTACTTATTATTTATTGTTTCATTTATAAAGTCTCTAAGTGAGGAATTATTGTTGTATTTTTAAGATGAGAAAACAGGACTAGTAAAGGTCACTAACTGACTTAAGATGGACTAGTTAGCTGGTAGGGACATTCAAATCCACATCATGCTGATGTCACAAGCCATGCAAACACCGAATCACCACGCTGACGATACAGCACATGCTGAAAAACTTTTACCGTGACTGATTGACACTAAAAATCATGTTCAGTGTAAAAAAAAAAAAAAAAAAAAGGACAGCATCAAAAGTTGTGGTGACACTCCCCAGAAAGCAGCAAGCGATTTATGAGCCACTGTGCAAAGAGCAAAGCCCCGGGCTTGGCTGTGTCGTACCTGACTTCCAGGTGTAGGACCAGCAAGCAGCGGTCAGCCATATCCTGGAAAGATCTGGCAAGTTCGCTCAGAGTCTGCATGATCTGTTCCGACACTGGGGGAAGATCCATGTTCACGTGGCTCTCTTGAGCAGGAGACAGCACTGAAAGAAGTGAGGAGAAAACACCAGTCACTGCACTAGGTGCCCACAGATTTGTTTGAAGCGACGCACTATTTTGTTGTTCATCGTGTTTTGACCAATTTGGCTAATGTCAGTGTTGGCAGCATGAGACGTCCAAGACATGACAGCCTACCTCTGTACTCGATTCAACACAGATCGTCTGCAATCAACTCACAGAATTATAGAACAGAAACTCAGAGCTGGAAGTGACTTTAATCGTCATCTGGCCCAACCATGTGGTCTCTGCTTGTGTCCCTTGTACATCTTCAAGTGGCTGTTGCGCTTCCGGTTGTATTACTCACACAAATGTTTACGAAAGAAAATTCGATACCTTTTAAGGCAGCCTACTTCATCTCTGAAGGATTTGACCATCTATATCTAGCCGTTATCTGTTGCCGTTAATTTCTTGTTTTTAAGTTTGTTTATTTTGAGAGAGAGAGAGCACGCACATGCACACATGTGTACACAAGCGAGTGAAAGAGAGAGTGGGAGAGACAGAGAATCCCAAGCAGGCTCTGTGCTGTCAGCCGTCAGTGCAGAGCCTGACGTGGGGCTTGAAGTCACGATGCTGAGATCATGACGTGAGCTGAAACCAAGAGTCGGATGCTTAACCAGCTGAGCAACCCAGGCGCCGCTGTTGCCATTCAATTCTAATCACTGGCTCTGATCCTACCAACTTTGCAATCATTGCCCTATATGCTGGTACTTCAAGTATTGAAGATATCCCCTCTTTTGGCTTCCCTGAAGTCTTCCCCTTCCCAGGCTAACTGTCCCCAGTTTTTCAGGTATTCCTCAACTAATCAGATTGAATTATTTTATAATTCTCATAATTTGCTAACAAAAACATTCTGTCCCTTGAAATGTGTAGTAAATACTACAGTAGGTCTGACCTTTCTAGAGAGAATGATCAGCCCCCCTGTTCTGGATGCTATGCTGCTTGCACGTAAGCCCGGAATCTTCTTGGGGGGGGGGGGGTTAGGCAGAGCACGCTGTATTCTACTTTAACTTGTACAGAGCTTATAATCAGTTAAAAGCCCCAAAAGGTCTTTGTGGAAAATCTGAGAAAGCTACCTTCTGTATCCCTATCAAGTAATTGACAAAATTTAACAGCAAAAGTGCGAACCACATTTGTGTCTAGACTTCTGCTGCATATCCCGTTACCCACAGTTTCTCAAAGATCACCAGCAATTAACTTGGCAATTTCATTGAGGAGTTCTTAGTTCTCTAGAGTTTCCAAGACTGGCTTTGAATCCTGTCTCCACTACTTACTTATTATGTGACTGAGAGCTAAATCCTTAAATTATGTCTGCCTCAGTTTCTCGCTGTCAAATGGAGATAATAGTACCTATGACATGGGGTTTTGGGGGGGCATTAAATGGGCCATTGTAGGTAAGACACATAGAAGAACAGCATGTCAATCCCCCTTAAAATTATACAAATAATAAGCAATTATCATTATTCATTGGCATGTGACTTGTCCAGGTTAAGAGTCTTAAGCTTAATTATAGCAACAAGGTACTTAAAAGGTAATCCCATCTTGAAATTCCGTTACTGGTATTATTTGCTTTTCCATCTGAAAATTCTTCTCTCTGTCAGAGGACGCAGTATCTTTTGGAAGAAAGGCTCCTGGGATCTAGGGCACGTAAGATTTGGCAAAGCATCACTGACTAACTCAGGAGGGGTTTGCCTCACAGGGTAGAGAGTCACATCTGACTACAGCGGTGTCTGCCGTCACAGCCTTTCACAGCTGCATCTGTTTCTGGACTTTGCTAAGCCCAGAGAAGGACCCAGAGAGACAGTCCAGCTTCATAAGGCCAAGATCTCCTCTGGAGAACCAGACTTTAATACATGGCAAAGATTAAACAAAAAACAAACAAACAAACAAACAAACAAATTCAGGCCAAGGGATCTGATCTGTAAGGAAGAAGGAAATGCAGTGAAATAGTCTTCGCATTACTGCCAGCCCTGGCATCGTTCAAGATGCTCACCACCTCGATCTGTAGGAATGGACACGTGGCATGGTGCCGCCTCTCTCAGGTTAACACTGCTCATGCTGTACGATTGCGAGGTGAGATCACTGCCTTCATAATGTTTTCATTTGGCAGGCTGGATGAAAGTGACTACGAGTAACACTTTTCTAATACTTCAAAGCATGTTAGGGCTTTTGAGTCCCTGGACTCCACTGCCGAATGACGGTCAGTTACTGTGGTTTGAGAGCTCTTTAAGTGCCAACGATAAGGTGCAGAAATCAGACCCCGAAGAAATCAGACACCCGGCTTGAGGTCCAGAGTTATACCGATCTCCTAAACTCCACCAAAGGCATTCTAGACAAATTCCACCAAGGAAGTTAAATTAAAAAAAGAATCCAAGTAGAGTAAGTTAATGGAAGAGAAACAGTCCAGATAACACTTGGAATGAGGGAGGTAAAAAGGAGTTTAAAAAAGCAGCACATTGTACATTTCACTTGACTGTAATCTACAACAAAAACATAACATTTTAGTAAAGGAGCATGAAAAATCACAGCCCAGAGTTCTACTGAAAAGCTGGCCTCTGAATTCCTGAGGGCTCACTGAAATTTGTGAAGTTTTCTTAACAGGAAGGAATAGACTGAGGCAAAAACTGCTGAGCACGGCAAACAAATACCACACAAAACAAGGAACACTCTCTTAAATGTCCAGTGGAAATCTACAAACAAGCAGTGCTGACGGAATTGGCTTGGGATATAGTCAAGATAGAAGGCTACTGGACAGACACAAACGGACACATCCTTTTAGAGGCTATGTGGTTATAGATCTTGGGGATTGTTCTTCATATCAGCAAAGCCCACATATACTAGACTTTAAAAATGTTAGTACTTGCTCATTTAATTAAAATATACACTTTGAGCTGTTTTGCTAATACTAGGGAGGGGTCGCATCAGATCATTCGTCCCATTCCATTCCTCTTACAACCATTGTATAAAAGCAGGCATCTTTGAGACTCCTAGCTAACTAATTGTGGCAATGTAACTGTGGCTTTCTGTACTCAATTGATTGGTCTATATGAGGATGCTGACACTTGCTCTCTAGGGCAGACACTGCTTGGTTAGGTGAACCAACACATATTTCCAATTCTCCCCTGCTCACTCTGCAAGACTCCAGAAACCTAAATGCTTGCATTCCGAGCCTTGTTTGTAGCTAGAGGAGGCCATGTGTCACCATTTGCCCAACGACCTTCAAACAGACTCTTCAGTGGCAGCTTGATCTAATCCTGGACCAATTCTGCAACCCGTCTTTTGATGGGGAAACAAAAGTACGGGTCGTTGCCGCAAAAAAATTTCTGGATCTTCATCTCAAGAACACCTTCCATGCCTCTTGTCCTTCCTCTGCCAGCGCTTGGTTTGGCTCTTTCCTGTTCTCGGCAGCCTCCCCAAATTTGTGCCGCTGCCTTGTCCTTCCTATTCTCTCCTCACCCCTCTCTTACGACCTCAGATTCTCATTAAGACTTCAAAGGAATCGTCAACACGTGCTTTCTCTGTGGTCTTGCCTCTTCTATTAACTTTTCCACGTGTCATAATCCTTCTGCCTTCACCACATTATTACATCGTTATTCAGATGATCTCCTAATTGCCAAATCCAATGGGTGCTTTTCAGTCCTAATTTCAGAAAGGTTCTCTGCTACGTTCAATTTTTCTTAAATTTCTGTTCTCTTTTGGCTTAGATGGCACCCTACACCCGTGGATGTACTTTTACGTCCCTGACATTGTTTTCATGGTCTCCTTCCCTGGATCCTCTCCCTGTAGCCCACCCACGAGTGCTGGTGTTCCCAGGCCTTTTTTCTCTATTCATTTCCCTTACTTGTCATTCTGTATGTTCTCTCTGAGTGAGCTCATCCATTTTCAGAGTTTTTGCTATTACCTAGGGACTGGTGACTCCTAAACTTCATGTGATCAAGTGTGTGCAGGCTAGCTTTACCTGTGTACATCCCACAGGCATCTCAAATGCAGTGTGTCCAAAACTAAGCTCATTATCTATCTTTGGCATCTACTCTTTACCCTGAATTCCCTTTCCATCGGGGGTGTGGCAATCTAGGAATCTCAGCTGCAAACCTGAGAGTGATTTTTGAGCCCTCCTTTCCCTCACTCTCCTCGGCAAAGGCTAATTTCTGCAAATTCCATTTCCTGTCTCTTAACAGCTTAAAAAAATTTTTTTTAATGTTTATTTTCGAAAGACAGAGAGAGATAAAGCATGAGCAGGGGAGGGGCAGAGAGAGAGGGAGGGAGACACAGAATCCGAAGCAGGCTCCAGGCTCTGAGCTGTCAGCACAGACCCTGATGTGGGGCTCGAACTCATGAGCCATGAGATCGTGACCCGAGCCAAAGCTGGACGCTTAACTGACCGAGCCACCCAGGCACCCTTGTCTCTTAATATCTTTTGTCTTTTCTGGATCTGTTGCGATTTTCTTGGTTTAGCCCTCACCTCTTCCATGAACTACCACAATAGTAGGCCTCATGCCTGGCCTCTACCTTAATTCAACCCTCCATATTTAGCTCGCTAAATATGAGTTAGAGAAGTAGAGTTATTTATCTAAAACACAAATTAGACTTTGTCACCTTCTTGTAAAAATAACATCAGTGTTTCCCATTGCTGATATGTTGAAGTCCAAGCTCCTTAAACAACTAGGCTTTCCATGGTTTTTGGTTTCTGTCCAACACTTTAGTTTTTCTCCATCTTTCACCATTTTCTCCTTCCTCACCAATTTATCTCCCTTCCTTCCCATCCTGGCCCTTTAATCTGACATCTTTTGAAAGCAAGTTCCCAAAACATATCTCGCTGTTTTCAGGATTCTATACCTTCCATGGCTCTTAATCCCCTTTCTAAACTATTCGTGCTTTCTGGCTCAGGAAGTGTTTCCTGACTCTCCAGGCAGGGTCACTGGCTCCTCTGGGGGTTTTCTTTCCACATAATTCTATTACAGTAGTTATCATATTCCACTGGCATTAT